ACATTTTAATGTTACATTGAGAAATTTCAAGTACTGTGTCATTCTTGCAACTATAAAATTCCTGTAAGCAATTTGTTCGCTTATTGCTCAAAGCAATGGTGTTTAAGAAAAGTGGACAGAGTGGTATAACTTTACTAATCCATTCACTTAGATCTGAACCGTGTTATATCTCCTTTCAATTCTAACAATGTCAATACATTGATTCATTTCGATAAGCTAAAACTGTTCCAAAATACAATTTGATTCAATGAACTTCTTAAAAATTGCGGAAACATTTTCTGGATCAAATCTATTGTCATACAGGACAAATCTAAATATTTGCACTTTGGAAATGAAAAGCCATGTTTTACTAGAAAGATATTTTTTAAATTCAGCTGCTACGCTCATTTTAACACAAGCTCGATGTAACGACAAGTCATCCAAAACAATCTAGCAATTATGGAGCATTATAAAAGCAATTATGGATACTACCTTCTATAGCGGATATCATTGGGTGACTTGAACACTCGTAGCTAGTCCATCATCTCCTAAGCGAATCATCAATGTCAGCCGTCTCTGTTCCAAATAAAGTTCACGTTCCATGAATCATAATCGCTTTGGCATCCAGATAATGCCTGGTGGCCTAGTATAGCAACAAGGTTATCCTTTTCTTTAAGCCTCGCCAAGGCTTCTCTTCTAGCTTCTGAAGAATTTCATAACGCGACGAAGCATCGACGTCACTGATGAACATTACACTCTGCAAGACATCTTCAACCACAGCGAACTCTCGTCCCGACCAATGTCCTCGTTTCTGGAAAGCCACTTACACTACCTGTCTCGAACAGAGCCCATCGACTACATGATTTCTCTAATTATCACAAGTGCTTTCTTCTCCGAATTCATAGCACATTCCCCCCCGAAATCCAATTCTCTTCGCGGTTGCATCATCTGGATCTTCGTCTACTCGAAAACCCGAATTCGATATCGGCCACAATCCAAGTAGAAAACCCTCGGGCGTTGACACCACCCAGTATCTTTGAGAAAGGGCGCAGCGCCGCAGAGCACGATGTTCGAATTAAGCAAACTGTTGAACTGCCTCGGTTGAGACCAGTCGGATGTGAATCGGAAAATAGGGTTGCAATTTGGGATCGACCGAACGATGCGCCGGTCGATCTGTAAAAC